TCCTTGCCACAGGCCCAAAGCCACAGGGCCAAGAGAACAGGGACTGAAACCTCTGAAACCTAAAACTTTCCTCCTTTGAAGTTGGGTATCTGTGGCATTTTGTCTCTGTGACAGAAGGCTGAATACCACAGACAGTATTTACCTGCGTACATAGAGTTCACGTGTGTGTGTGTGTGTTTCAAGAAAGAGTAACTCCATAACAATTTCTTTTGATGAAAACTGAATAGAAAATATATCTTGGTGATCTGAAGCTTAGATAATCTTTATGCTTGAATAATTTCAGAGAGAACAGCCAATTTACTACCGAGTAGATACATAATCTAACGGCAAGGGAACTACTTAATCCGGGTCACAGGATTTGGGATGTGACAGAGTAAGGGAAAAATTATAGGCCATCATGCAAGTCTACTCCAGAAAACAACAAAAACACCATACACTGACAAAGAAGGAATGCTATCAATTCTGATTGATGTTGTGAACTGGAACAAAAGGTCTCGATGGAGAGAAATTGGAAACACTTGGCTAAAATGAGATTTGAAGACAACTGTCTGATTCATTTTTCAGCTTTCTGCCTGTCCCTCATTACCATGCCTCAGTGCAGTTTGATTATATTACTAGGGAAGTGCATATTTCTGTAATGAAGAAATATTATCATATCCTTTGGTTCTCAATCCTGCAGGGAAAGAATTAATAACTAATCACATAATCTCTTCTATAATTTATCTTTCATAATCCTTAGAGTGTAACATGACTAATAATGTTAAAGGAAGTAAAAATCATAAGACTATTAACAGTTGTTGTTTTCATTACCCTGTTATTGTTTGGGTTCGACTGTGATAAAAGCAGTCAATTTGAAATGTGTAATAAAATTTGAAATCCATTATGCCTGATTTACCTAGAGGATGTTCAGAAGAAAGTGGGAAAAATAATTTTTAAAAGAAAATAGACTTTTTTTTCTGGCTCTTTGGATTTCTGTCAAAGAAATGAATATGATAAAAAGAGTTTGAAAATGATGATTTCTAAGATTACTTTATGCAGGGACATTGCTCCCTTTCCTTTCAAGTTTCAAGTGTTAAAGTATTAAGTCCCAGAGTTCAAAATTACTATCAGAAGTGGTACATTTTATTTTAATTAACCTGATTTAATCTTTCCACAATGAATATATTTATCATTACATTAAATTGTATCTTGTAAATATATACAAATATAAGTTGTCAATTAAAAAGAAGTGGTACATATTAAATGTACCATTTAATATCCTCAGGTTAGTAGAATGGTTCCTAGGCAACTGAGTATATCAAATGAGATTGGCACAAAGTTCTTTTGAGTTTAAATAACTCACCAAATAAATGAAATTAATGCCTTCAAAGGAAAAGATAAATAAACATTGAGCGATAAAATAATTTCAGTTGTCAAAAAGTTAAATATGATCTTGAAATGTTCTAGGCCAAAATATCAGGGAAAACCTTGAAAAAATTTAGGAGTGAGAGGAGGAGATTAGGTCTCATCTGGCACCCCCACAACCTGGAGCCCTGCTTTCCCCTCCTCCTCAGTATGGAGGGAAAAGAGGAAGAATAGAAGATAAAGGTGGCGCTCCCTGTCCCTTAACCCCTAATTCAGCAGATATGAAAGCTCTTAAGACAGACGCTGTGCTGAAAGTGGGGAAGGGCTTTCCTAAACTCCCCTCTCCTAGGGCAGCTGCTGGAGATCAGAGAGCCCACGACTGCCAGGCACCCGACTTCAGTTTCTATTAAAAACTCATCGTGGTTTAAAGCACTCAGTTTAAGGAGACAACCTATTTCTGGAGAGAGCATTGGGGAAAGAATCTCCTATTGATGAATATGAAAGAAAATCACCAGGAACGTGTAAATCTGTATGTGTGTGTGTTTAATCATCTGCCTTTTCCATTTAATTCATCATGGGCATTTTTGAAAGATTTCAAAACTCAAATCAAATTAAATAACAGTAACAATTTGGAAATCTTTCCTTCCATAGAAACAGGAACTGTATCCAAGTTATGTGACTTGTTCACAGCCTAGAGGCAAAGTGGTAACATGCCTTCTACAACTCAATGAGGATCTCAGGAAGCCAGAAACACTTCTCTAATTGGTGCCCCTGGGTGGAAGGCCAGCCTGCACTTTGGGGACCCCCTTGTGGTTAAATGAGGTAGGGTGGCTTCAGGCGAGTAGGAAGTGTGGCCTCAGTAGTCACTGCTGGCAGAAACATGTTAGTGCTGAGCCACTCCCTCTCCACAGCCACTCTGTGTGGCAGGTGGCCATTGCTCCATCAGCCTGTGCCCCAGGGTGCAGAGATAGGACAGAATACCTAGCTGTCTTGTAATGTGAGCAAAACTAGCCCCTGTGCTGTGAGTACCAAGGTTGGGATTGTTGGGTGTAGCAGCACACCCTGGCCTGTACTGACTAGAACATATACTGCCACATTAAATCTTTTCAGCAAGGTAATAAATTTGGAATTATGATACTATTTGTAATGATGCACACAAACATGAGAACATTTAGAGAGATAGAATAACTTGTCCAGCTTGGAAATGCCAGAGCTGGAATTCTTAACCCTGGTCTTATTAAAATGGACTTTCCATTTTTCTATCAGTGAATTTTCTACCACGTAATGTAAATTTCAGTTAGTAACAGCTACTGTTTAATATAAGAGAGAAACAATGTAAGGAAAGAAGGAAGGTGGGAGGAAGGGGAATTTCTTGTACATGCTCTGAAAACCCATTTACTGTGAGTATGGCAGGGTTTGAGGAAGAAGTGGTCCTTTTATGTCTCTATTTCCTTTGCACAGCTGTAAACACACAGGAGAGTTATGAAATAGTGAAAAGACTACCAGTGAGATTACAGGTTCTCAGACAAAAGATACATGAAGGCGTTTCCTTGGACTATCTTGAAGGAAATAAGAAAAGTAAAAATCAAGCCAACTTAAAGCAAATTACTGACATAGATTTTGAGTGCTTCATGATGCCCAGGAGTTGAAGGCTCAGAATCAGAATGGCAGATTTGAGACAAAAAGCAGGGGTCAAAAGGAATAGTCACACCAACAGGGTAATTGTCAAGGATTTGAGATCAAAGACAAGTTGTGTACAGATACATGCTTTCAGACCACCTACCCCCCAGCTGAAAATGCTTCCATCCTTGCTATACTAACATCCAAAGAGGAATTGAAGGATAAAACTGTGTTATTTTCTGTCTTTAAACTTACCTGTGTTTTGAATGCCCACTACAGAACTTCTCTCCTGCAATGTACCCCACACAGCCCTGACCATTGTTTGTCATATGAACAAATAACAACATGACGGGATACCATGCTTGACATTCACTTTGCTTTCTAAAATTGAATTTTAAGAACAACATCTGATTTTCTCAAAAGACAAATTCAAACGGAATGAAAATTATACAGGACAAGAGACAGAACCTGGGAAGAAGAGTGAGTAGACTGGATGGGCTCAGGATTGAGCAGTGGCAAACAGAAACAGTTGCATGAAATATGTGAGGGAAGGGCACCGGGGAGCAGAGAGACTCAGAAACCAACAGCCAGGACTCACCTGGTGAATGTAGGATGCTGACAACTGCCAAGATTCTCAGAAAGAAGATCCATGCAAAATAATGTGACTGAATAGTGGGGACATTATGGTGGCATAAGCTTGACTTTTGAGGACCTAGAGAATAAGCTTAGGCATACAGAAGGTGAACCAAGTCTCTGTGACAAAGCTTCAGAAAAATCAAGGAGTCAGTGTCTCTGGTTGGCATCACCATGGACACCCATTCATGCTGGGAGGTATCAACATTATCCCTGTAACTCCCCTGGAGAAGCCTGTTCCACCTCTGTTCTCTCCTGCCCCTGCCCCAGGCACTTCCTGTTACAGACTCCAGTCTCTGTCCCATACCATGATGAACTCCAACAGTGACTGTAACAGGCTGGTCAGGTTCTATGGGTCCTTCCAGGGAACTCTTGAATATAGGGGTTATTTGTGGGGGGGGGAGGGGGCATTTGGCACTAGCAGATGTTCTCAGTGGGGGATGGCAGGGCCTCTGCCTCTTGCTCCAGCAGCTGTCCATGCACTGAGAGGGAGCAGAAGCAGTGTTCTCTGCTTTCTGCAGGGGAGATTTTATGAACCCATAAAATGTATTCAGTTTAGGACCTTACGGCACAATAACAACTGTGGCTTCAACACATCTTACAGAAAGCCTGGGAGCACTTTAGAGCCAGAAGTCACTTCATAAGTAAACCCATAAATACCTTCTATGTGTTATTGTACACATGCAGAAGGTTTTAAAATACCGTTAGAAATAAATGCTCTGAAGCAGTGTAGCCTCCACAGCCCACCATTACTCCCCTGGGCCAGCAAAATCAAGTCTTCAATGTGATCCCTCTGGGTCTCTGTGTAGTGAAGCATTTCACATTCTCTGAGCTGCACCATGATCAGCCGTGGGGCACCCAGTGATTTCCCCTGGCACTTTGCAAGTTCCCTTCCCCTCGGGGAAGGTCCAGGTGAAGTGAATGCACAGTGAGTCTGAGGAGCCTCACTTTCCCTGAACCACATGTTACGTTTAGACGTGAGGTGTCCCCGGAAGCTCATGTGTGAGACCACACAGGAAGGTTCAGAGGTGAAATGATTGGGTTGTGAGAGTCTGCGCCTATTCATTGCATTAATCCTCCGATGGGGATTGACTGGGTGGTAACTGTAGGCAGGTAGGGTGTGGCCCAAGGTGGGTAACTGGGGGACAGCTTTAGGGTAGATATTTTGTGAGCTGAGCTAAGTCTCTCTTTTCCTCCCCCCCACCCTCTCTCTCTCTTTCTCTCTCCCTGTCTCCATCCTGATGGCTCTGTCCTGAGCTGCCTTCCTCCACCACACTCTTCCACCATGATATTCTGGCTCACCTTGAGCGCAGGCCAGTGCAGATGGTGGCCATCTTTGGAATGAGACCTGTGAAACCATCAGCCTCAAAACCAACCTTTCCTCCTCTCATTGTTCTTGTCAGGTCTTTTGGTCACGGCCACGAAAAAGCTGAATGAAACACCATCAGGACCCTCAAGGAAAGCCTTCCTGATCCCAGGCCCGGAGCCCGTGCACAGGGCCTGCCATCGTGGGTTGAGAGTGACGGCTCCTGAGTTTGCACTGGCTTCCATTTCATTAGCAAACGCTTAAACAAAACGAAACACCTGGTTGGTAATCACAGCAATGACATGAAAGACAATCGGATAAAACGTCCTGTTCCCTGTGGAGTCGAGAGTGTGTTTGAAAGGAGGTTTGGAGGAAGAACCTCTCTTTACCAGGCACTGGCCAGCAGTTGGAATGGCATCCAAGGCTCGCACACCCATTTGACTTTTTTGAGGATAATGCAAAGCTCGGCGACACAGCTACAGATGGCATTATTTTGTTTAGACTTCTAAAGGGCACTTCATGTGTTATGGGAGATAAAAGCCATTTTGAAATGCAGTCTCTTTGGATTGCTGAAATCAAACAAAGTGCATTGAAAAGTGGTTAAAAGAAAGACACAAAGAACCTTGATTTTGTGGTCAGTGCAAGGTACTTTTTTTCCATGGCATTTGTTAATTTTTTATATTCGCATTGATCAAATATCTATCATTTTGATCCTTTTCTCCATGGAGATAATGGTGTCAGCTCTCTCCAGGTGGAATCCAGAAAGGAGCTCACTAGGAGAAGCAGGCAGAGGAGGTGGCTCAGCTCCTGAGCTCCCAGCTGCCCAGTTTTATGTGTTGATCACCAGAGGGAAGTACTGTCATTGTTCATAAGAGAAAGCTCTGTGTGCACATGGGTGCTACTGTCTCTACCCCTTATTGCTGTAAATAGGATGGATGCCCGGTGGTGGGGTCTCCTCTGACGCTCAGATACAGGCCTGCCACAGAGAGTGGCCAGCTGAGCAGACAGGAATATGACTCTCCACCCTCATCTGAGAAGGTACCTGGGCAACCCTATGACTCTGCAATGAGAGGCAGGTTGCTGTGATGACTCCAAAGCTCCTTCAGTCTGTCACCCTCAAAATGTGCTGCAGTGACCTAGTGAATCCCCCGGGAGAAACTGGAATAAGTTGTGCTGTGGATCAGGTTTTCCTAGGGACAGTGCCTTGGAAAGTATGACTCACAGGTCAAGACTCATAGGTCACACAGACCCGTGATTGATCTGGGGATTGCTCACTGTGTCACTGACAGCTGAGCTGGGCAGGTAGGACAGAGTCCCCATGGCCTGCAAAGCCTCAAGTCCCTGCTACTTGCTTGCTGAAGGTGCCCATTATTATGAGTCTAGAAAAGAATAGAAATGGAAATCATTACAGATGTATATAATATCGTGATAGGTGCAATGGCACTTAGATGAAGGGTAGATGTGAGAGATGTATGCATATATGTATGTACATGATTTATCTATGCATTATAAAGTTCAAATGCATATATAATGCTGTGTATTTTCTTTAAGCTAAAAAATTTTAAATGAGAAGTCACTCCCATAAAACAAACAGAAACCCCAGACATCTAAAATTATTTTTGCAAGGTTACAAAAATAGGATAAATAAATTTTCAAAACAGGAGATAAAAGATAATATCACATTAAAAAAAATACACAGTGCTTGAAACAAAATTTTGTGATTTCTTAAACTGTGTTAGTTTAAGGTGCTTAAACTAAAAACAGAGACTCCGACTTATACATGTCTCTATTTTCTTCCTCTATGCTTCTCCCTCGTCCCCCACCCTCCCCCTTTCCCTGCTCTCTGCCTTCCTCCAATTTAATGTAGCACTTCTCTGATGATTTGGCACAATTTCTCTCTCTGACAGAAACTTAAGATTTTGGATCTATTAGCAGTGCATACATTATTTATTAACTTGCATCAGGAGTAAACTCACAATTGGCAAGCTCAGAAACTGCGGAAAATCATCATACCACCGCCGTCGCCGGCATCGCTCCTCAGCAGTCCAGAACAGATAGAAACATTTCAAAGGCAGCTTCTCTCTGATGGCTGGATATGGAGAGTATAATAAATGGCTTGTTTCATTCACAATTTCCCTCCGTCCATGCAGCGATGGCTTGTGCATTAGTAAGAAGGCTTACAAGTACATCAACATCCATCTCCAAATGCTCCAGAGGCTCATCTGAGTTATGATTGTATGTCAGGGAGGGGAAAATGAAAGAGGTCCCAAAGCACTAGATAGAGTTTTTTAAACTTTGGCAGGTGTTCTACAATGCTGTGTCACAGAATTGTCGTCAGGTGGCACAGTTCACGGTGACAAACTGATGGCAAACAGAAGAGGCTGGCAGTGTGGCACCCAGCAAGGCCCTCCTTGTTTCTATGCCTGCTGCCACCCTTCAGGGAGCAGGGAGCCAGGCACACGTTTGGGACTTCATTTATAACAGATGGCAGCTGTAGGGAACAAGTGACGTATCAGATAAATTAAGTGCATGTCTGATAGCTGGGATGGCTTTGGTGTATGCATTGCATGATGAGGGCTGGGGATGGCTGTGGGAGATACAGGGACCAAAATACAATTGAGAAATGGTTGAAGAAAGGCAGCGTGTCTCGCAAGCTGGGATGAAATCCTTTAAGGAGAAACAGAAAGCCTGTGAGTTTGCATACAAAGTTTTCTCTCCCCAGGGGTGAAGATTGCTTCCAAATTTTCAATTTGATTGCTATTTCTCTGCATATCGTTTATTTTATAAAAATAATAGGAATACATTTGACCTAAGTTGACTGATGTGTTTAGACAGCTTTCTTTGGCTAGTATTGGTATAAAAATAATGAAACATCATCTTGTCTCGCTATTTTGTTTTACTCTTATTTTGGTGTAAAAAGGAAACCAATGCAGCATATTTTTTAGAGTCTTTGGAAACACACAATAGTGGAAAATGAACCCTACTTTTAAGGAGGCAGTTTAAAATTTTAGTGTGCCAAGTGCAATTTAGGCTTGACATTATGTAAAAATGCCGTCATGATTCATGGGGTTTTGGAAGCTGGTTACCTTAGTGATTTTATTTATCTCTCTGATATTGTCTGACAGTTGAAATGTGCTTAGCAGTTGCTAGCTTTAAACTAGGGAAAATTGAAACCAAGTTGCTTGTGGGATATCAAACTTAGAATTCCTTTCCTGTTTTGGGAGGTGGTGTTCAAATAGGGCAACGTATTCTCATTTGTTTTTGTCTTAATATTTAGAGAGAAGCCTCAAGTTAAAAATCAGTTCTCTTAGATAATGTATGAATTTAGATATAGACGTGGACATATATAGATCTACACACACAACCACACACACACACACACACACACATACACACACATGCACACATACTCCTTTAGAAAATGATGGATAACTGAATCCAAAGATAAAATCACAGCTGAGCAAAGCCAGATTTATTTTATGAGAGGAATAATCTCTAAGATGCAATAAACTCAGATTGCATGTTTATAATTAAATTAAAACCAATATATAAAATGGTCAAAATTTCACCAAGACAGGCAAATATAATGTTATTAATATTAGCATTCATTATATAAGCCTTAAAAGATGAGTAGAAAATGCTCTGAACCAAGAGATGTCAAAAGTGTATCTTCCTTAGGGAGGTTAAATTAGGAGTTGTCGTCTAAAACGCCATTTCATATTCTATGGAAGTTCAATGCTCTTCTAAAACTTCTGTGTGTACATTGGACATTTACTCTGGTAGTCTCCTCTTATTTTAAATTATTGCCTCTTCCAAATTGTCATTTTAGTTAGCATCACCTCATGGCTGCAGCCTGAGTCCTCATCCTCAGGCGTGTCCATAGTCAGACCCCAGCATGTGAGATATGCACAGCGCGCGCGCTCACACACACACACACACACACACACACACACACACACACACACACACACCAGTGCATGAGAAGCAGGAGCAGGTGCAGCAGAGCAAGCAAGGAGCCCACACAAGGTGACGTCATACTGCGTATGCTCCACCCCACAGCATCCCAGCCTCGACTGGACTGTCTTTCCTCTTGCCCTTTGCTTCTTTCCTCTTCCTCCTGGATTACCTTCAGAGCTCCAAAACCTCTGCTACACACAGGCTCCCCCATGCCTTCAGGCTTAGCTTAGACCTATTTTGCATTTCAAACCTCTCAAGATGTTTAGCAGATCAAAAGGACTTTCTTGTAATAAGATCTTAGAAAGCAGTTGCAATTATACATTGCCGTTCATGTTTATCCATTGCACAAGTTAAAGTCTATCTAAGAAACAAACATTTTTCTATTAGAAATTCAGGGCTATAGTGATAATATCGTTAGACCAATACGAAGCATTGCACTTTTTTCTTATGAACTTATTTCTATCTCTTCTCTTACTCAAAACCTTTCATTTCACTTTAGATCACCTTTTCTTTTTCTTTTTTAAAATTCTCAGCTCCTCTGTTAAAGGTCCTTGTATCTGTTATTGCATAAGGGAAATAGACCGTGCTTGACCCACTGCATTCCACGCCACCAGGACACCAGGATCACCATCGGTTCTAGCCTTGACTGCAGCGCCACAGCTCACAGATGCTCCATTCTCTAGCTCAGCAGTTCTCCAACTTGGTCTCAGGATCTTTCAACCTTCCTAAAACACGGGGGCCCTCTGTGAACGTTCATGAGGGTCTATGTGTCCAGTGACCCACAGAATCTGAGAAGCATGGACCAATGCTGGGCCTTGAGCTCCCGCTGGCCCTTCTGTGACTTCATGTTGGTGACTTGGAGATAGCCACAGTGCGAGGATGGCAGTGATGTGATGAAGCCCGCTGGCCAGAGTGATTCTTAAATTCTTAGAAATTCTGCAAGCCAGTTTCTGAAAAGATTCATTGTTAAAACATTACATAAACTTATAACTAAATAGCACATAAAAAGTAAGTACACCCAGCCCACCACCTTCTGGTTCTGTACTGTTGGTTTGAGGTTCTCGGTCTTCTGTGTGTGCGGGCAGGAAGGGCTCTGTGCTCTGTGCCCTGGCCATCTCTGTAAGATCCCCAATCCTGTGATGTGAGGTGGATCTTTGAAAGAGGTCATGGCTGAATATCTACAAGACAGAAGCTGTCAAATGCTACAAAGCTAGACTTGCCTTGTGGTCCTATTGATTTAAGAAAGTGTTAATAATGCTGATCAAATGCAAAGTGTGTCAAATCTGTAGTAGGCGGGTTGTTATGAAAATTGTAAATAGCAAGCGGAGGAAATGACCTTCATGTATCCAAACAAGAGGACCTGATTCAGTTTAAAAGTCATTCATAAGAAGAAGTTCCAGACTGTGGATTTGCTGCTTCACTTCCTTCTCACTTATCCAGGTGGACATTCATGTTGAAACTGCACTCAGAGAACCAGTTGTTAAATAGTCTCCATCTCGCTCACCAGGTCACTCTCACAATGCTGGTCATGGTTGTGCACAGTCGACAAAACTATATTACACTTAAAAATAATAGCAACCCCTACAGATGTTATTTGAAGAACATTTTCTAACAAATAAAAGGAAACATAAACAGCCTGGCTGTACCTGGGTGTTGAGTGTCCCTGAGTGGTCCCATCTTGGGACTCTGAGGGGTCAGTGGAAACTTTACAAGGTGGAGCCTGGTGACAGGTCTTTGGTCACTGGGATGTGTCCTTGAAAGAGATCATGGTACCCAATCTCCTCCTCCCTCTTGTTTCAGCTTCATGGCCCTGAACTGAGGGGTCTGTCCCTGCTAAGTGCTCCCTTCATGACACACTTCCTCAGCACCGTGCTCCATGGCCAACCAACGGTGAGTGGAAGCCTCCCAACCTGTCAGCCGAAATAAACCTCTCCTCTCTGCAAGTTGACTGCCTCAGGTGCTAGTACAGTGACAGAAAACCAACCCAGTCGTCTAAAGAAAATCCTGTCTTCCAAACATAGAACAATTTGGTGGAAAGAATAAAATGATTTCACATTTCTGAAAATGCTTTTAAGTTCAGTTTAATGAAAGACTATTGCATTATAAAATCAGCCCTGGATGGCCTTCATGTGTCTATCTAGCACAAAGCGATCGATGGCAATGAGTCGCTTTGTGCTAGATAGATAGATGAAGGCAATCCAGTTGCATGTGGGCATGTCATCTAGAGGAGAGCACTCACGGCTGCTCTCCTCGCCTCAGGCTGCTGGATCCACCCATCACACATGAAGAGCTGCTGCCACACCAAAGAGGAAATGGACATCGTACGTGAGGCTCGTGTGCTGGCACTGAATTTCCCGTGTGATTTCCATTGTGAGTGTACACACACTGTGGATTCTGGTGAAGTGGCTGCAACCCCATAGCCAGTCTTAAACTGCTCATCCTCAGCAAATACCTTTCCTGACAACCACTGTCACATTTGTAGATGCATAAAAGCCTCATTTGCCTGTGTTTCTGTGTAAAGACACTTAATATGTTTTTGATAAATCAACATTGAACTCTTGGCCAACAACCTCCAACACAAGCCTGCATGAGGCGCATATGTAGCATTCATTTTTCCCTGTGGCACCTCTCAGCCACCTTGTGCGGAGGAGCCCTGGGCATCAGGGCAGGACTGCATTCAGGAGCACCTTCAAAGCAAG